TTTTATGCTACATTGAAATTCGTTTATTATGGCTCCGCCTATATTGACCAACCGCTTAACACGAAGTAATTGCTGTGTTAAGTTTGGTTTTCATATTAAATTCTCTATAGGGAAGTTTGCATATAATGACTCCGTTTAAAATCAAACTGTTGTGGTAATACCGCTTCCATTTCATATAAATCTGTACGTACAGTGGAATTCGTTTATTATGGCTCCGCCTATATTGACCAACCGCTTAACATGAAGTAATTGCTGTGTTAAGTTTGGTTTTCATATTAAATTCTCTATAGGGAAGTTTGCATATAATGACTCCGTTTAAAATGACATATCGTTTATTATGACTGATTCTCAAGAAATCATATCCGGCTATAGTGACCCAAATGATTATTAATAACATTTTAGCTCATTTTTCTGACCCTTCTTATGTATATTGATATTACAATTCATTGTTCTTTTTCTTTTTCTGTTAATAAATATATACAATTTGTAGTTTTTCTCTCTATTAAACTAAATAACTAACCAAAATAGGAAGTTGTTTATTTTCTAAGACTAAGCTTTGTGTCAGGCCCGCTTAGTATGACGTATTTGTCATTACCCTTCGATGTCATTATAAGCGGATACTACTGTATTTTAATTTTTATAGTTTTGTTCTAAAGAAATGAATGAAATTTTGTACGATATATGTATATTTGTTTTGAAAAAGTTAATTTTAATCCGATATACACACACTTTATTCGTCAAAACATCGTTCTAATTATTTATTATTAATTTTTGCACTATAGACAATCTTTAGAGCAAATATCTTTTTGATCAACTTTGTACTGCCGGTAGGTATATGAAATATGAACTTTTTTAAATGGAAAAACCACTTTATTAAGCAAAACACTAACGAAAATCAAAATTACCTACTTAACGAAAAAGAGTTAACTATACATGCATAGTATTTGAAAACATGCAAATATTTTGAAAACTATATACCCTTCTGTTTTCAAAATAAGTCAAAACTATTAGATTGAGTTTACTTGCTAAAATACAGTTTTTAAAATATTCATAAGTGTCATAGAACAACTATAAGAGGCTTTCCCTTGTTTTGGGGCTTTAACCTGAAGTTATTTTGTTTCAAAAATACCTACAGCAGGTACTTTCCCCAAATACGTAAGCCGCGCAGGCTAAATAGATAAAAAGTTTAAGAATAGGTATCAGACATTAGTTAAGGAATCCCATGCACAAACAATAATAGATTTAGTATGTTTTTGCCATAAAGCACAAACTTTTTAAAGAATGAAGAAACTGTTAGAGAGTTGTACACATCCTTATTGGACATCTTCAATAGGTAAAATAAGTAAAATTTAACAGATAAATATTACATAAAATATTTTTGTATAATATTTATATTACATATACCGTTGTTGTAAGGTCGATAGAGAGAAAACAAAAAAGAAAACATGCATGTAGATATACGAAATAGACTATGTTTTACAACCTAAACTAACCAACATAAACATGAATACAACACACATACAACTTCACGCGTACGCACACAAATTAAAAATAGACAATTTACATACTCACATTCTACGTCAGATGAGCAGGACCAGCGCTGATAATTCCGAAGAAGGTCAATACAATTTAACACTTTATGGTAAAACCGACACTCAGCTGATCAACAAAAAACCACAAACGTTTTATTCCCCGCGCTTCTTTTGATCCTTTCCACATTTTGTTATTCCCGAAAGGACAACACATAAGTAATAATATAATACCATACAACTGATTAATACGAAACTTAAAACAGGAACGAATGTAGAGAGCGAAAACGACGACGGACGGGATGGCTAAAATAGAATTGCCGTCCTCGACGTCTCAGTAATCGTCGTCGTCGTCGTCGTTGGTAATTATTGCGGTCTAATAAAACTCACTTTTGATTGTCAAGAATAGATTGCGAGGCCTCAGGCGCGCGGGCACGCACAACCTCATTCGAAACATTTGAATATCCCGAACTCTGACTTCAAAATTCGAATACGTACGATTAACTAATTTTATTTGCTTGCAAATAGATGGCAGTAGGATAAAACTACGTATACTTTTTTTACCCTTCACTAACGAGTAATTACTTTAGAATTTAGGTAATTTAGAAGGATAAATGAATAAAAATACGAGCAACATTTTTTAAAAAGTTTATTATTAATTTAATATTATCAGAATATTAAAATATTAAGGTACTTTATTTAGATAAAATAGGAAGTACCTAACGCTTTTCTTCTATTATAAGTAAAGTACCTATTTTTTTTTATAGGCGCCTAAACTGCAAACGCATTTTTAGTATAAATTAAGCAAACAAATACCTAATAAGTAAAATATGAATGCTGTACAAAATAAAAAATTAAGTTTTAAATTTTCAAATGTGTACCAGAAAAGTATTTATGCATGATTTTAAAATATTTTATGGTACAAGTGTTAATTAATCTGTTGTATTTTTGCCACTAATACTATACTATACAATTTAGCTGATTACGAAAAATTATATTAGTTTTTACAAAAATTTTCTTTCAATATAGGCAACACATTTTACAGACTGAACAACAGTGTAACATGTCCACAATTTTCTTCCTTAAAGTATAATAGTTTTAAACTAATTAGCAAATTTTCGCACAGAATCAATTTTTTTAAGATGTAATTAAAGTAATTATAGAAACAATTCATTTTTAATACTTCAGAATCTAATGTCAGCAAAAAGTAATAGAATGAAGACAATATTTTGATGTACTTTTTAAATTTAAATTTTTTATGAATTCGCACGAATAGAAAATTAAGAATAACTATTCAGAATTATTTACATCTTAATGAATTTATAAAAAGAACAAATGTTTGTTTATTCCTCTCTAACCTCAAATTTCTATGAAAACTAAGATAAAGCACCCTTCATACACAACTCCTTGTAATAATTATTCAAAACTTACCCATCGTAGAACCAAATAGTAAATAGATCAAACAACGTTTCAGTCAATATCACTAATTTTTTACTATTTCTATAAGTCTAACACTAAATAAAAGCACAAAACAGTCAAACTAGTAAACACACAACTACGTAGACTGTAATGCGCAGGTTTATTCTTCTTCAAAATAATTTATCAACCATAGGCGTATCAAATACACTGACCTGAATTTGTACGGGGAGTCAACTTATTTCAAACATAATTTAGATCATTTCTGCTTATTAAATATAACGTATTTCCCTACTACATATGACTAATCAACGAGTCAACAAAAGCTTATGCTCGAAAAAGTTAAGTCCTTGAAAACTATTTATGTTTTTATTTGAAAAATGTAAGAAAACTTTAATAACAATGTTTAGGGGGTACATTTCATTCTAAATCTAGGGCATATAAAACAGTTAGGTGACTAATAACACCTAAACATAAGGAAATATTACTTTTCATTAGAAGTGCGCTAAAAAGAGATTTTTTTAAAATTCCATCCCTACAGGAGTGAAAAGGAGGGTTAAAGTATCTTGTTGATAAACAACGCAAAACCTAAAGATTTAAAATTTGAAGAGAATATACCTCGAGTAATCTAGGGATGCACTAAAGCAAGATTTTTTAATATTCCATCCCTAAGGCGGCAAAAAGTGACTACTTGACCGACACGCCATAAACGGGTAGACCTAAGCATTTGAAATTCGAGGGGAATATTGCTTCAGAAGTGTAAGGATGGATTAAGGAGAGATTTTTTTAGATTCTATTCCTAGCGGGATGAAAAGAGGTGTTCGATTAATTGATTGACAAACAACGAACAGCCTAAACGATGGACCGAGATATTTGAAATTTGGAGAAAATATAACTTCTCATTAGAGGTGTACTAAGGAGAGTTGTTTCTGAAATTCCATCCCTAAAGTGAAAAGTTCAGTTAAAGACCCAAAGATTTGAACTTTGGAGAGAACTTACCTTGCGTACTCTAAGGCAATTTTTTTTTAATATTCCATCCCTAAAGATTTAAGCAGTGGTGTTAATGTGACTACCTAACCATCAAGGAACAGCATAAACCAATCGATCTAGACTTTGAAATTTGAGGGGAATATTCCTTGAGTACTGTAGGGAAGCACTAAGGAGGGATTTTTCGGAATTCCACACCTAACGAGATAAAGAGGTGTTCAATTAACTAATTTACAAACAAAGCACAGCCTAAACGGTGGACCGAAATATTTGCAATTTATAGGAAATTTGCCTCTGGTTAGAGGTGCACTAAAGAGAGATTATTTCTGAAATTCCGTTCCTAAAGAAGTGAAAAGTTGAGTTAAAGTAACTGACTAATGACAATTCGCAGTCTAAATCGATGGTCCCAAAGATTTGAAATTTGGAGGAAACATACCTTGAGTACTCTAAAACAATATTTTTTTAATATTCCAACCCTAAAGATGTAAATAGTAGCGTTAATGTGACTACCTGACCAACAAGGGACAGATTAAACCGATAGACCTATCATTTGAAATTTGAGGGAAATATGCCTCGAATACTTTGAGGGTATACCAAGGAATGTTTCTTTGGAATTCCATCCCTAAAGGGATGAAGTGAGCCGTTGAATCAACTGACTGACAGATAACGTACAGCCTAAATCGGTGCACCTAATGATTTACGATTTGGAAGTAATATTCTAGGGGTGCACTTAAGAGGAATTTTCTAGGAATTTGGTCCCAAAGGGTGGTAAAAGAAGAGTAGAGCCGCAATGGGCAAAGATGGAAAGTCAAATAAAAAAGAATTGATGAGAGAACCGTGGCTTCCTAAATGATAGTAATTACCTAAAACTATTTACCAAATGTAGAGACATCCATGGAAGCGGGCGGGTTAAAACTAGTATATAATATAAGAGATCCCTTGAAAGTACCCTGTAACCCCGTCACTGCATGTCAGTTGGATCCAGTGGTTGGCAATTGAGAAAGCTGTTTCAATAAAACGTTGGATAAAGTGAGAGGTAAATACATAAGTTTAATATATACCAAACTCTACGCAAGCGGAGTATGTCACTTCGTAGAGTGATCGACAAAAACGACAGCATTTTGCTCGAACTGTTGGCGTTTACGCACGAACCTTATATGCATTAAAAAATCACATGGACTTTCTTAACTGTTTTAAGTTGTTTTAATTAAAAATGTTAATTAAACTAGGTGCGATTTTGTTAGTTTCAGCCGTCTCTAGTGCACATATGATAAGTCAAAGATGGGGTAAGTCAGAAATTCGATTTTCTTAAACACCAAATATATTTTTGCGCGCCATAAGCACCTTGCACGTAGTCACGTAGGCTACTGTTATCCTATTACATCAGGGATAAAGTACATATCATTGCGGATATTTGCATTGCGGAAAGCTTATTGGTGTAATTTCCGATGCTCACGTTTATCTTTACCAATTTTTTTTAGAGACTTTTTGCGTAAATACCTATACGCATTTTTTGAAAGATTTTATTTTTTTAAATCAGTACCAAATAGATAAAAGACTAATTAAATAAACCTACATTCCTAGCAAGTTTAAGTAGGTTGAAAAATAAATGCACCGTAACAGTTTCTACTTCACAGGCATTTTATTCATTAGCATTTGCACTTTGATCTTTGTAATATTGATTAGTTTTAATAACTTATTCTATTTAGTACTTACATGTAGAATCCGATCAGGTATATATTTTTTATCTATTTCTGTTAAATTGAGCTACATATGAATCTGAGAAATATTTTTTTTAGATCTATTCCAACTTAAAGCTCCAGTATAAAAAACTGTTGAATGTGCTAATCACTTCTAATTAGCACATAAGTAGGTCCTATAATTTATTAAAAAATATATATTTTAATACCTTCGTAGGCATACAGTATCTGAAAATTGCTCAAAACCCAAAATATCGATGTTTACTTAAACTTTCTGCCTATATACACCACTAGCGTTGCGTAACAAATTTTTTCTAATTCTAGAAAATAGAGATATAAGTTGACGAAAAAGGGGCAGATATAATTAAAAATAAATGGTTCAATGTTAAACAAAATTAAATGTTATTAATTATGTGTTACGAGCTGGGTTTCTTAACCTTGAATCCAGAGACTCCTAAGGGGTCAATCTCAATATTATTTATTAAGATAATAATTAATGCAATAATACGTAAAACTGCGCGTGCCATTGTACGGGGTGTTCGGGTGGCACTAAACAACACCTCAATTTAAACTCATCATTCACTTTGGTCTAGCAGCACTCTTTTCACAATGTGACACAAGTTATCATCCAGAATCTCCAGCCCTATCCAATAAAAAGTACTTATAAATTCCCTTGTTTCGTGCATCCAAAAAGAAAGCGTCAAAATTTTGAAAATTTGAAAGTGGCCCACCATCAAAAAAAAGATTAGGCCAGGATAATACAATGAAAATTAGGACTTATGTTGATATATTCATGGGGCAAAAGTATTCGGACATTCAAGTCCTAGTCGAGAGCTTGCTTGATATGATTCCTGTCCTGACTGCTGAGGGGTGGTGAAAAATAAGATACGCGTCAGTGATGGAAATAAACATGCGATATGAGAGTTGAGTTATGTGAGTTAATAGTATATTTACTTGCGGTTTTACATTTTTCATCATTTTTACGCGAGGCGTCTTGGGTCGTTATCATCATAAGGTCGTCAGTTCTAAGACTGGTTAGACACGCACCTCCAATCTTTCCTATGCTGAGTTAATCTTCGCATTTCCTTGAAACTAGAACATACTACATCCTTAACTATTTGCGAACAGTAATCTAATCTAGTTCTACCTCTACTTTCCCTAACTCTCTAATATGTCCCTGACTAGCACCTCATTCCTGAGAAGGTGTTCTATCAACCTATTTCGCCTATTTCTTGTTGACTTCTATAGAGTCCTCTGTTCTCCTATTCTTTCTAATACGTCTTCATTTCTAACCTTTTCTATCCACGATATCCTCATCATTCACCTGTAGCACCACTTTTCAAACTCTTCTAACCTTTTCTTTCCTTTTCATTCGTACAGCGCCGCGTTCCAGACACACCTTTCTACAATCTTTCAAATTTCTAAATTAACCTTTCGCGAGCATAGAGGTTACTTCTTTTTGTTCTATCCTCTGTTTTATATATCTACTGCTCTTTGCATCCTGACTGTCTAGATACCGAAAATCAACCACTTGTTCTAATTTTTCGACTCCTATCTTTATATTCGCTTTTTCCCTACTTTTTCTCCCCTTGCATGCCAGTATTTTGGTTTTATTTTGATTTATCTTTGTTTAAGATTAGTCTCCATAACTACTACGTTATGATCGCTATCTGTATTTGCTCCTAGATAACTCCTACAGTCCTTCACACTTGATTTTTAAATCTTTGCTTAAAAGTATGTAATCTAACTGATATCTCCGTGAATCACCTGGCATCTTCTACGTATAATGCCTCCTAACGTGATGGTTAAATAAAGTATTCGCTACGGTTAAGTTGTATTTATCGCAAAATTCTATCAGTCTATCTCCTCTATCATTTCTATTGCCTAATCCAAAAGAACCTGCTATTGCACCTTTTTTACCTTCACCTATTATTGCGTTGAAATCTCCTACAACTATTAGATTTTACTGGCCTTTCACTAAATTTAACACGTCTTCTATATCTGCATATACCTCTTCTACGTCTTCATCAATGTAAGATGATGTAGGCTTGAAGACCTGCACTAATACCGTTTTTACCGGCTTCGAGTTTAATTCAATTTTTGTAAATAACTTTCTACACTCTGCCCTGCTTTCTTACGCATTACAATTCTTACTCCCGAATTACCTTCCACCGATCCTGTATGTATTATTTTAAAGTCTCCACTCCAGAAGTCTCAAGTTCCTGGCCAACGAACTTCACTAATGCCTACTATATCTAATTGTAGTCTATTCATCTCAACTTTCAAATTTTCTAACATCCCTGCTTGCCTCATTATTCTAGCATTCCACATGTTTTTTTATAATTCTTTTCCCTTTTATTATTATCGCTTCCAAAACAGCTCATTAAATACGAAGGCACGTAAAGCACTAATTATGGAAAAAACAAACATTCATCGTAAAAGTCAATTCTGTCCAAATATGTTTAACTGTAGCCTTAAATCGAATCGAAGATAATAATGTCAATAGTCAATTGATTTATTTAAATAGGCTGTGGTGAGTATGCACCATCTACAGTTGAGAGAATGGTGTCTATAAACTATGCCTTGTGCGATAATAAATTAGATTATAGCATTATAATTAAGTAATCGTATTTATCAAGGTGATTGTAAAATATTTAAATGGAATAAAATTACAAGTAATTGTAACTACAATACAATATACTTATGTGTTTATATAACTGAACTTGACCTTACTGTAGGTATAGCTTTACTTCACAGTGTTAGCTCAGTTGTATTTTAATAAAATATTAAGGCATTAACTTAAGAAACATCATTTTTCTTAATAAATACTACGAGTAGATTTTTCACTTTCTTTTCATTTAAATTATGAGTTAAGTGTCAAATATAAATTAGTCATTGTCACTTTTGCATAGTAAGTTTCAGTCGCTAATCGGTGATCAACTCTTGTTAAATGTTCACAAGTTAATTCTACAACACAATATCAGGATTTTCTATTTAATTAACTGTAAGAAATATAGGTAGGTAAGTATTTACTTACTACGATATTTCGATTAAAGATATTTAGATGGGTAGGATGAATCTGAATTGTATTTCAATATGTAAGTACCTATAAAAGTATCTCCAAATTAGTTATCACCTTTTCTTTTGATTGATTGATTTCTAAAAGTTGTTATTATACGTAAATTGTTTAGTATAAAAATTAAGAAGAAACATCAGTATTATTATCTCAAGTCATTTTCCATATTTTTGAATTTTCTGTAAAAGATTTTTATTATTTATTGGTAGGCAAGTACTAAATTTTGAATCGAATGTATCTTTTTCGGACTAATTAGCTGTGATCGAAGGTAGATAATAATGAGTTCGTCTTCCGTTTCGTTTTCTGTTGTCGGAGACATCTTCATTGTGTGATAATCGTAATATGGGTGGGTAAATGTCACAGCAGGAGAGTCTTCGATCCTTTAAAATCGGTCCGAATTTCTTTAATTATTTTAGTCTTTGATATTGATAATTTTACTTGAATGTACACGTTACATTTCTATTATAATCTAATATTTAGTAGTTACACATATATGGGGCAGTAATACAACGTTAAAAATGCCAAACGATCTTCTGTTTACCAACCTACATATAAATGTCTTACTTACATTCCCGTTCCTTTTTAGATTGTTTCTGGATTATAAAAAAAAAGTCTGACAAAATTGTCGATTAGGAAACAAATTCTGATTCCGTAAATACGAACGTATTGTATTTACGTAAACATTAGAACAAACTTGTTCAATTACATATTTATTACATTACCATATTTATATGTATATCAAGGTTTGCATGCTTAATCTTTACTATCTATTACACAATTGCATTTTGTAAGAGATACGTAGTACCTATGCAATTCATTTGTTTATTTGATCGATAACCTTTGTTGTATTTTTAGAAAGCTTGTGTATACGAAGTATAAAGATTCTATTAACTTTTTAATCTTGAAAACTCTTTTTAGCATCGTCAGAGGGGTACAAAAAGATAAACATATACCCCCATCTTTATTCTTTATATTACATATTTTCGTGGGTGAACTCCCTCATTGAAAATATCACCAGCTTCTCTAAAAACTGTCTTAAATAAACCGAATTCTCAGTATCTTTTGAGCAATGCGTAACATCCCTCAAAACCACTAAATTACATTTATTGGAATTACACAAATCTCAAATTAATAAGGAAAAATTTGTTATGGCTGTCACGTTTGTTTCAACGACTTTGTGACCTGTAATTTACAAAATTTGCCGTTCTTGTTCGTACCGTAGTGGTAAAAGTACTAGTGCGGCGCGTGTTCTACTCCCGACGATGATGTTTTTCATCATTAACGTGAGCTAATGTCTAGTAGAATGAGTTAACAATAAGTTGATTGTACATTAATGTTTGATAATTATTAAAATATTAGCCACCACTAAAAGTAAAAACTTTTTTAAACTATCGATATTAACTAAAATAATGGGCCAAATTGGTATTATTTCGCATATTATCCGTTCATATTCAAGAGTATTCTTTTGTATGGTTGTTGTAGTTTTAGTTTAGTTTTAATAAGAAAGCTC